TGGTTTTTTCGTAAAATTAGATATTTTATATGTATATTTTTTAAGATTTTGTATAATATTATATTCTTGCACCCGTACTACAAAAAGTCTAAATGGTCCACATTGTTAAATGTTGAGCTTTTGACCTTGAGGATTAAGGATCAATTCTCACTTCAATACATTTTACCTGGTGCACCCATGTTCGAAAAATCCTAGATTCGCCTCTGCTTCAAAGCAATATCTGTACCAATCTGTAAAGACTTTGACTGTGGTTTTTACACATATGGTAGTTCTTTCAGCCCTATTTTCAATGAAAAAAGAAACTCATGATTTCAGTGCTCCTACTTCGAGTTATCAATTGACCGTGCTTTTTACACATATAATTGTTTTTTTAAATTGATCTTCCAAGAAAAATATATAAAATATAAAATGGAAAAGGACAATCTTTCAAGTTTAAACAATGTCGAAGTGTTATCAAATTTATTTCTCCATCCATCTTTACTTATTCATATTTGATTCACATACCTTATAAGAAACAATTATAGATAGAATGATAATTTTACTATATCACCTCTATTAATTATAAGTCATCTAAATATTGAAAAATGAATACTAATATTTAATAGCACGAATAAAATAGATACAAAGTGATAAATTATCTCTTGATTTTTCAACAATTAAAATGAAGGGGGGAATATTATCTTTCAAGGAAGACAAATACTCTTTCATCCTTAATTTCAAAATCGAATTATGGGTATATAATCACTTTTGGTACGTACGGAGCATTTTACTAAGAAAATAAGATTTCTCAACTCAACTCTAAATTAATCAAACACGAGTATTATTTTTTTACCCCTCCCTTAGGATCCCACATTTTGCTTTCTTGTTGACTCGAACTTACAATCTTAAGATTGAAAATGAAAAATGCTTATCATCCAAGCAATTCCATCTTATCATCAAACAAGAGTATCGAACCTCAAACGGAACAAAAACAAAAAACGAAAAGAAAACTCAATCAAATCTTTTCCTTTACACTATGCTACTATAGTCAAGAATCAAGATCACCACTTGTTTGTACTATAATCTGTTGAGATTATGTAAATAAACAATTTAACTAATTAATTGAAGGTATTTGAATAGTTAGTTATAGGAGTTAGTTACAAGTTAGTTAGAAAAGGAAGCTTAGTTAGTTAGACTTTCTTTGTATTATATGTGTATATATTCAGCACTTCATACAGATTGAATGAAACAAATCTGTAATTCATTCTCACAAATACTCTCTAAGCTTTCTTCACTCCCATTAATGGAGGTTCTCAACATGGTATCAGAGCACAGTGATTTCGCTGCAATTATCTGCTAGTTTTTCTTCTCTGCTCACCTACAACTTCACTTACAACTGTAGATCGAGTGTTCGTCTTCTCGTTGCAGAGATTTTTTTTTTCATTATCGGATTGATCATGGCACTTGTGGATGATACATCTGATCCTGCTGGAGTTCAAGCTCCTGTCTCAATTGATCACAATCATCCTCTGCATATTCATCCTTCTGATACTTAAGATTTTATTCTTATCTCAATTCAGCTTCTAGGTTCTGAAAATTACTCATTATGGAGCAAATTCTTGAAGCTTGTTTTACTTGGCAAAAATAAGCTAGGTTTTCTGTTAGAAACTTATACTAAGGGCATGTATCCTTCCTCCATGCATGATCAATGGGAGAGATGCAATGCTATTGTTCTAGGTTGGATTATGAATACTGTGTCTAAAAGTCTAGTTAGCACTATGATCTATGGATCTGATGCACACATTATTTGGGAGGATCTTCGTGAAAGGTTTGATAAGGTTAATGCTTATAGGGCATTTTACCTTCACAAAGAGATTGTCACTTTGTCTCAGGGAACTGCTTTTGTATCCAATTATTTTTCCAGGCTGAGAGAACTTTGGGATGAATTTGAAACATTTATGCCACCTCCCTCATGTGCATGCCCTGAATCCAAACAATATGCAGAACATTTTCAATTTCAGAAGTTACGGCAATTTCTGATGGGTCTAAATGAGTCTTATGCTCATGCTAAGAGTCAGGTCTTAATGCAAATTCCTGTACCAAATGTTAATCAAGCCTATGCTATGATTATTAATGTTGAAAGTTAGAGGATGAATGGTGCTAGTAGTAGTTCCTCATCTACAGAATTTCCCTCTGAAACTGCTCTTATGAGTAGCAGAATGTCTGGTCATGGTGGATATCATAACAGTGGTGGTCCTAGTTCAGGACCTGCTTACTATCCCAGTAATGGTGCCAATGGCAATGGTGGTTATAGATCTAGAAATAATGGTGATGCAAAGCCTGGGGGAAGATCACAACTCTATTGTGACTACTGTCATTACAGGGGACATACAAATGAGTCTTGCTACAAGCTTCATGGCTATCCTAAGAAGAAAGGAGGTCCTCTTTCTCATGCTAACAGTGCTGCTGCCGGAGGACACCAACTTCCTGAAAATGGAGCCTATGATGATTCCTTTGTAAGTCCTAATGCTAAGTCCTATGGTACCTCCACTAACAGTTCCTCAGCAGGTATACAAGGCATACCACTCTTTACACATGAACAATACAATCAAATAATACAAATGTTGAGCAAAGGAAAAAAGCAAGGAAGTAGGTACTATGGCTAATGTTGCAACTGCAAGCTCCTCAGGTACTCTTACAGCTCTTATGTTTGATGTGGTTCATTCCAACTGGATTATAGATACAGGTGCTTCAAACCATATGGTTCACAATTTTAGTCTTATGAAATAGTGTACCAACCTTGGAGATAAGAGTGATATGAAAGTAAATTTGCCAACTGGTGCTCAGGTGGCTATTAGTCATGTTGGAGATTCACTAGTTCTTAAGGATAAACTAGTGAATGGTGTTCTCTTTATACCAGATTTTCATTATAATCTACTCTCTGTCTCTCAGTTAACTAAACAACTAAAGTGTGCAGTACTATTTTTTCCTGACTTCTGTATCTTTCAGGATCTCTTTAATGGGAGGGTCCTGGGGATTGGTAAGGAAGATCAAGGTCTATATCTTCTCAACACAGAGCTACAACCAAGTACTTCACAAGACTATATTACTAGGAACTCATGTATCAGTTCTCCTATTAGTCTTACTTCTGTCTGTTCATTATCTTGTCTTTGGCATAAGAGACTTGGGCATTCCCCTCTTACAGTTCTCAGTAGAATAAAGTGTTTACACAATGTACCTATGAAAGACCATAATTGTACTGTTTGTCCTATTGCAAAGCAAACAAGATTACCATTTCCTACAAGTGTGTCTATATCTAATTCTTGTTTTGACATAGTGCATGTTGATGTATGGGGCCCTATAGGGTTCCTAATTATGATGGAAAGAGGTACTTCTTAACATTGGTAGATGACAAATCCAGATATACTTGGATTTTCTTAATGCACACTAAGTCTGATTCTATTGTTTTGTTGAGAGACTTTCTCTGTATGGTCAAGACTCAATTTGGAACCACTATCAAGTGTATAAGATTAGACAATGAAACTGAAATTTTCAATTCTCAAGTAGATGCTTTGTTCAGAGAGCATGGGATTTTGCATCAAAGTTCATATGTTCATTCCCCTCAACAAATGGTGTAGTTGAGAGGAAACACAGATCCATACTTGGCATGGCTAGAGCTTTAAGATTTCAGGTTTGTATTCCTATTAGATTTTGGGGTATGTGTGTTTCTACAGCAGTATACATTCTTAATAGATTACCTACCATGTTGCTCAAAAGCAAGTCCTCATATGAGATGTTATTTGGACATGCTCCATCTCTTAGTTATCTGAGAGTTCTTGGTTCTTTATGTTATGCTACTGATCCTAAAAGGCTTGATAAGTTTGCTCCTAGAGCTATTCCTGCCATTCATATGGGTTATTCTTCTACTCAAAAGGGTTATATTTTGTATGATTTCAGCTCCAAAACCTTCTTTGTGAGTAGAGACACTGTGTTCAAAAAAGAGATATTCCCTTTCAAAGATCTCAAGTCCTATCCTGATCCTTTGTTTCCTATTATTACTCTTCCTGATGATTCAGTTCCTGAGATGTTTGTTCTTAGTTCACCTTCTTCTTCTCAGTCTCCCACACTTGTTAGAATTGATGTTCCTTCTGAAGCCACTACCTCTGAAAATGTTGTTCCTTCTGTTGCTCCACCTAGGAGGTCCTCTAGGCAGTCTAAACCTCATGTTTGGTTAGACACCTATGTTACTCCCAAGGCCAAAACTGCCTGTCTATATCCTATTTCCACTTATGTTTCCTATTCAATTTTATCACCTGCCTATAGAGTCTCTCTTCCTGCTTATTCTGCAACTTCTGAACCTCATACATACTCAAAAGCTTGTCGAGATCCTCTTTGGGTGGCTGCTATGCATGATGAAATTACTGCTCTTGAAAGTAATGGTACTTGGTCTATTGTTTCTCTTCCTACTGCTAAGGTTGCTGTTGGTTGTAAATGGGTGTTTAAGATTAAATACAAGGCTTCAGGGGAAGTTGAGAGATACAAGGCAAGGCTTGTTGCTAAAGGGTATAGTCAACAAAAGGGCCTAGACTTCACTGAAACCTTTTCTCCTGTTGTAAAAATGGTTACTGTTAGGTCTATAGTTGCTCTTGCTGCCTCTTGTGGATGGTATATTTTTCAGATGGTCTATAGTTGCCCTTGCTGCCTCTACAAGGTGATTTTCCTGAGGAGGTCTACATGCAAATTCCTGAGGGTTTTGCAAACCAGGGGGAGAAACACATGGTTTGCAAGCTTCACAAGTCCTTATATGGACTAAAGCAAGCCCTTAGACAATGGAACCTAAAACTTACTGAAGCACTGATTGATATGGGGTTCCTGCAATCTCATTATGACTACTCATTGTTTACAAAGAGAGTAGGGAAGGAACTCCTTGTCATACTTGTATATGTGGATGATCTTTTGGTCACTGGTAGCAACTTAATTCTCATACAATAAGTTAGAAAGGACTTGCAACATGGTTCAAAATGAAGGATCTTGGAGAGTTGAAATATTTCCTTGGAATTGAATTTTCCAGAAATGCAGATGGTATTCTTATGAATCAGAGAACATATGCACTTGGACTTGTATCTGAACTTGGGTTAGCAGGGTGTAAACCTGCATCCACTCCTTTAGAGTTCAATCATAAGTTGACATCAACTGTGTTTGATGAATGCACAGGAAAAAATGCAGAAGATATAACTCTTGATGATTATGGAAAATATCAAAGATTGATAGGTAGGTTATTGTACTTGATTATGAGTAAGCCTGATATTGCCTTTGTAGTTCAGGTACTTAATCAATACATGCACTCACCAAAGACATCTCATATGGAAGCAACACTTAGAGTGGTGAGATACATAAAAGGTACAACAGGTCTTGGTCTGTTCATGCCAAGCAACAATGTGCCTGAACTTGTGGCTTACTGTGACTCAGACTGGGGTGCATGTATAGAGTCCAGAAAGTCAGTGACTGGTTACATAGTCAAGCTAGGAAGTGCCTTGGTGTCTTGGAAAGCAAAGAAACAAAACACAGTGTCAAGAAGTTCTGTAGAAGCAGAGTTCAGGAGTATGGCCACCACAGTAGCTGAGATAGTTTGGCTGAAAGGGTTGTTCAAATAGTTGGGAGTAGAAGTTAAGCTGCCTGTTCAGTTGTTTTGTGATAGTAAAACTGCTATTCAAATAGCAGCACATTCTATCTTCCATGAAAGAACAAAACACTTTGATATAGACTGTCATTTTGTAAGGGAGAAGATCATGGAGGGACTCATTCAGACTCAACACATAGGAACTAAGGAGCAACAAACAAATATACTCACTAAAGGATTGTGCAAGCCTCAACATGAATTGTTAATTGACAAGCTTGGAATGAAAAATGTATTTTCCAATTCTCAGCTTGAGGAGGAGTGTTGAGATTATGTAAATAAACAATTTAACTAATTAATTGAAGGTATTTGAATAGTTAGTTATAGGAGCTAGTTACAAGTTAGTTAGAAAAGGAATCTTAGTTAGTTAGACTTTCTTTGTATTATCTGTGTATATATTCAGCACTTCATACAGATTGAATGAAACAAATCTGTAATTCATTCTCACAAATACTCTCTAAGCTTTCTTCACTCCCATTAATGGAGGTTCTCAACATAATCAATTGCGAAATAAACGCAATAACTATACTATAATCAATTGCGAAACTAAAATTTTCATAAATTCTTTTTTTAATATTTGTTACATTCCAAAAAGTCAATTTTATATAATACTTTCTTTGTCTCAATTTATGTGGCGCTTTTCATTTTTCGAGAGTCAAACAGTTAAAGTTTGATCAGAAATTTGTGCGTGGAATCTTCAATTTTTTTGAAATGAAAGTTATATATTTGTAAAGTACGTAAAAAGTACTACAAGTCACAATAATTGACAATTCAAAATAATTAAAGGGAAAAGGGCCCGATAAACCCCTCAACTTTGCCATTTAGAGCTAATATGCACATCGTTATGAAAGTGGCTCATATATACCCTAATGTTATACAAACGTCTCTCATATACCCCTACCGTTACAAATTGAGCTCACATATACCCTTCATTTAACGGAAGTGAAAAAATTAGTTTTAAATTTATAATTTTGACTTTTATTTTAAAAAAATAAATCATTTAGGGGTATATATATATATATGATCCTTCTAGCAAAGTTCAAGATATATTTTAATCTTTTCATACATTAATTTTTTTTTGACTTCTTTGATTATCATTATTTGAGTTTCTTATTTTTTTTCTTTCATTCCTTAGTGTAAAAGAAAAAATTTAAACTATTTTTTGTGTAGCTATATTATAATTTAAAACTATTTTTCGGCTATATTGTAATTTAGTATTGGTATTTGAAAAATATTTGGGTCATTTATAATAAATTTTACAAGAATATTAGTGAGACATAAATAAATTTGACTATCAAAATAATAAATCTAAATTAATGAAACAAAAAAAGTTTTTAAAAAAGATATGTTTGAGGAAGATTAAATATACCCATATGAGATTATATATATATTTAAATTAATTAAAAATTAAATTAAAATTATTTTTTTCCACTTCCGTTAGAGGTAAAGGGTATATGTGAGTCATCTGTATAACAGTAGGGGTATATATGAGTCACTTTCATAACGAGGGATATATAAACTTTAAATGGTAATGTTGAAAGGTATATCAGACCATTGTGAAAAATTTACGGTCAAAGATAAACTTATTTCAAATGAGCATAATTTTTCGATGAAAAAAATTCAGTCAATATTGTAATTCCGCTCATTTATTAGTTGCGAGTCGGACAGTAGGAGCAACCTTGTAAAGGGATCGGCCCCTCTACTAAACAGACGCAACCCATGTCGTCCAGGGGCGGACCTAGGTAGAGCCCAGGGGGTTCACCCGAACCCCTCGTCAAAAAATTACACTGTATATATAACGTCAAATTCTGATTTTATGTGTATATATATTAACATGAACCCCTTGAAAACAAACGACAGACTTGGCTCAATGGATAAGTGGTTCATGTAGTGCCCCTATGTCATGGGTTCAAGTCCCAATGGCAACATTTTTTCCCTTTTTTAATATTAGCTTTGGAAAATGGAACTTTTGGGCTTAGACCTTCTTCTTCTTTTTCATTATTTTTTCCTTTTATTCCATTTCTTCTTTTTAATTTGTTTTTTTTTAAAATTATTAGACACATTCTTTTTATTTTTATTTTTTATTCTTTTTATATCTATTATTCATTTAGTTTCAACGTAACTCTTTTTTCATATATGTTTGAATAACTTTTTTTTAAAAATGATGAATTATATTTAACTTGAAATTGAGATAGAAATATAGTTTATTTTTAAAAAAAAATGTAAATTAGATGTAATTGAATGAAGAAACTTAAATATCGTCAACGTCCTTTTAAAAATATTAATTTAATAGAATTCATGAATTTTCTTTTATATTTTTAATTCTATTTTAGTGGGATGAAAACTAAACTTATTTGATTTATTCGTTATTTATTTATTTTTTTACAAATTATGACTAACCTAGTAAATTGAACTATATGAACTAAAAAAATTGACGATGATATTTATTTATATTAATAATATGCATTATAATATTAGTAACTCTATTCTTACACACTTTTAGAGAATCTTGACGATTTTCATAGTAATATTTGATTGAATGGATATTAATTTAAAATTTTTAAAAAGTGAAATATAAAGTAAAACATTACAAAATAAAAGTATAAAAAGCACAAGAAATTTTAAGAATGCTCGATGGAGCATGATAAAAGTAAAAAGAAATGTTTAATACGGTATGATAAAGTGAGTTAAATTTAGCATGATAAGGTAAATATTTTTCTTCCCCGTCTCGCTCCCTTTTTCATCATTTAATTTTCATGTGTTTTAGGAATTAACTTATGTAATACAGTCGATCCACTAAAATTCTTATCAATGCAACTTTGTTCTCGATATCTTTGATTAGTTTAGTCTTTACTTTTATGAACCAATGAAATATCTATGGTTCTTGTACAAAGAGCATGCCGAGGGGCTACTACGCTCACCGCGCACTTGCATTACCACCTAAACTTCTTCTTTATACTTCGAACCCCCTTAGCAAAAATCCTGGGTCCGCCACTGATGTCGTCTACACCCATTATTTATCACGTGATTCCACACCTACTTTCATCCCAAGTGGCCTCTTTCTATATGTTTATTCCCCACAAGCAACCACAGCCTAACACGTATTGACGGCTCTATAATTTTTTTATTCTATTCTTATTATGGATCACACTAATTAAATGGAGAGGTACAAGCGAGTTTTAGATCAAAAAAGAAAAAAGAAATTGTGTATAGGTTCAAATTCCCGCCTATGTCAGCTCGACCTGCTTGTTGGCTCTGATTAGGATCATCAGAACATCCTGAAAGATTCTCTTGACAAGCGAGTTTTAGATAAAAAAAGAAAAAAGAAATTGTGTATAGGTTCAAATTCCCACCTATGTCAGCTCGACCTGCTTGTTGGCTCTGATTAGGATCATCAGAACATCCTGAAAGATTCTCTTGAAAAGCTTGACTTGCAAGTGGAGAATGACGAGTTTCACCCACTTTTTGGGCCGGCTTCGTGATTTTATGCTTGAAAAATGCTCTTGTATCGCTGGCCCCTTTCTTTTATCAAAATCTAGCGTAACCAGAGAACAATCGAAAAGATTCTGACAATATATGAGAACGATTCATCACCATCTTCACGTATTAAAACAAGAATGTCCCAATCAAGTCATCGAGTGACATAAAACAACATATTCGGAATTGGGATCTCTCTCGCAATGAATGGTTGTTGTTCTCTTGAAGCTAGCCTTTATTCTTTCAATATTTTTGTATTTCAATTTCAATTGAGATATATGTTATATTTTTGTATTTCAGTTTCAATCGTTGCATTAGTTAAAAGTGTCGAAATGCATTAGAAAACACAAATTATGAGGACATAATAAGGAGAATTGGTTTGGTAGGTCATATAATTCTGTTTTAAGTTTTATAGATCTTTTTTAATAAGAGATTCCATTTTAATATATGCGGGATTTAAAATATTCATTTTCTTCTATTCAATTTGTAAATAATCAAGAAATTTCATTTTCTTAGACATGATCGCCTGATATATTTCGTCCAGACACAGAAACTTACTGCACTACTTTAATGTAAAGGCCAAATAATTAGTTGATCCAAGATCTCTATATGTTATTACAAGAGACATTACGTTATTTTTATCAGAATTTTTCATTTTTACACATATTTTTTTTTTAATTCAATTTATAAGTGATCATATGAAATCATCTTCATTCTTTTTGACGGTCCATGTGAACTAGGATTTTGTAGATAATATTAGGTGAGAAGTACCAATTTTCTTGGAATAGACCCAAATAGGAGTAAAATAATGTCTTCCAATAAATGGTGGAGGGACCAAATAATGTTAGTTGAAGTGCATGTGATTTGCCCTACCTATCGGAATTTTCATAGTTCTATGAAACATAAAATAAGATACAAATATGTATATGTGGGGTACGTGTGTATATATGTTACAATAAACAAAGGATATAACAAAAATTCCTTAAAATTACGTACATCAGTATTAATTTACAAATGCTCTTTGCCTCTTTATTTTGTAAAAAATAAAATCTTGTTTGGACAGTCAATCTGGCCCTCTTATCCTTTTGTCAATTTACAAGTTTTTTGTTTTATTTGAAAAATAATTAAATCAAGAAGTACATTATTTGAGATATTGAAGTCAGTAGCTTAATAATTGATTGACTATTCGAATTTTCATTTTATTAGACGTAAAAGTCTGATTTTCCATCTTGTAATTCGTTCTTCCATTTTCCCTTCCATTAAACTCTTTTTTTTTTTTGGTAACAATTAGCAAAACAATTTTGTGGTGATATCTCCATACATTGCTAGTAAATCTATAATTGACAATTAAGAAATTTGATCGTTGTCATATATAAATTTGTTCTATTGCTTAGTTAAAGTCATGGTGGTTTTAGAGCGTAACAATACTATTTGTCGGTTGCACCATTTTTATTAATTCACCGTCATTATTCTTCAGATGGACACAAGACAATACAAATC